ATAAAAAAACTGAACAATTGATATTTTCTGATTAACCAACAAGCACGCGACGTTTGAAGTATGAGAAAAGTCTTATAAGATCGAACTCAGAATAATGCTCTAACCAAGTAATATGTCCTCTTCTTGTGGTTACGGGTGAGTTAGAATGATAAAAATCCGAACATGTGTGTATGCCCAGTAAACACAAGGTATAATCCAATCTTATCAACATGTTGTTGGCCTGAATATTCTTGTATATTTGCCACTGGACGTTAAACCTTAAACAAAATCATACTGTCCTCCTTATTTTCGATTTGACAAGAACTATCATTCTTGAGACCGATACTTTTAAGACAACATCTTTCGAATGATATAGTTATTAATTTGTTCGTATTGAAGTTACGAATTCAATTTGGAATAGGAATTTTGGCGTACGTAAATTGTTTTTAATGATATAAAATAAAAAGGTGGATTAAATATAGTTATTTCTGTAAATAATTTATTTGCAAAACTATCCTAGAGGAGACATTCTTGACTTGGAAATAAAAAAACTTTGATTAAGAAAACATATGATCGGAGCGCAATTTCATAGCAAAAATCACCCAAATAAATATCGGCCTACCTAAAACATTTTACAGAAAAAGAAAGCCTACTATGATATGTACAGTTGATGTCACTTGTTTGCTATCTGTTATATTTGTTTTTCGTTTCGTGTTTGATCATAAATAAGGCTTTTATGTCTATTCGTTTGGATTCTTTCACATTTTTGTCATGCCGGTGCCTTTTATAGCTGACTGAACGATTGCGGTTTTTCTCATCGTTGAAAATGAACTCAGTTGAATATATATATTGCAAGTTAATGTAATGCTTCCCACTTATTTTTGGCGGTTTAATCGACTCTTAAAGTACATTTATTTGCAATAAAGAACTGCTTAATACATTTTTTTAATTATTTAAAATTAATAACGATTTTCAGACAGAAAGCAGAAAGCCGTGTCAGTTTGGAGATTATTTGATGTTAATTTGCTTGTTCTACTTTTTGTGTGTCTACAAAAATGTATAACTGTTGGTAATTTGATTGGCTTTCAAAAATCAATTACGTTTATGTTTGAATAATTTTTTGCTGGAATTCATGCTGATCATTATATTATGTTTCTGTGTGACTATTTCTAGACAGAAGGTGACTTATTTTTTGTTTCTGTTGGTAATTCCAGGTGAAAACCTTATTAGGTTTCTTTTATTAATTAGGCTTATTTTTCTCTGGATTTTTAGTGTTATTTTATATTACTTAATTTTTGAACTATTAATCTTTGATGTAGTCTCTGTTATTTTCTATGGAATGCACGCGCTTGGTTGTTTTCAGAAGATCAGTAGATTTTTCCGTCTTTATTTTTTTTAATAGATTACCATATTTTTGGTTATGCTATATAAAAAACACATATGTGACTTTGATCAGCCCATTTCTTAAATGCATCGTCATTCCTGAACTTTACGAGTTAAAATGTTCGTCTGATGTGGAAAATTGGAAAATAACACAAAGCCTCAATGTATTAAAGAGTTAAGATACTATCTAATTGAATATCGTTTTGAGGTCCTGTTTCAAAGTGTGACATAGTGTATTGTGGTCGTTGGATGTTTTTCTCACTGTTTTAGTGTAATTACACACTGAATCGTTAACAATATAATATGATCATTTAATCAAATAATTATACACAAATCTTAGCTTCATTTTACGTGTAATTGGTTGTATAATAAAATTACATTTTGAGAAATTCCTTCGTTCTCAAATTCGCGATAATTGAACTTTAAAGTTGATTTCAACCGCATAAAATTTTAAATATTGTCACCTTATTTGGTTTACTATTTAATTATCTTGAAACATATTTAAATATTTAAGATGTTTGTTGCTTTGCATGCACGAAAAACTTTTATTTTCAAATGATTTTTACAATTTTGATAGAATTTGAAACGTTAATACTTTTTCAAAATATTTTTATGTGGGAATTAAATTCATTATTTAAATGTCGGTTTCGGTATAAATAGTTTTTCATGGGAATCAATTTAAAGTATATTATTCAAAAAGTTATAACATTTACAAATCTCAGAAAGTTTTGGGTACATCTGAATGAGACAGCAAGCCAACACCAGTCTTCAGTAATAGACTGTATTGTCCATCAACCTCTAAATCAGCCATAGTCAATTTGTGGTTGTTTTTATCATACTTTTGAATAAGTCGGACTACAGTAGAACTCTGGGGATGATAAGATTTGAATTTGTACACTAAACAAGCACTTAAATAGACGTTTTTTCAAAAGTATTTAACAGTACAGAAAAGTTTCAGACTAATCTATCAACAAAAAAGCTTCTCCACTTCAGAATTATGACTCGCCTATTAAATTATTTTCTCATAAGTGTGATAAATATCGAATACTACAAATTTCATTACATTTCGATTTTTACATTTCTTACCAAGGTTGTTGTAAATTAGTTATATATGACGAGTAATTTTGATCTTTATCAACTGTGAAATTGATAACACAGACAAGATAGCTAGTAGATAATTAACGGTTCTGATATAAATGTGTGTGTTCCGAAACCTGCAGTAACCACAACCCGAATAATTGTAATAAATTGAAGGCGAATACATGTCATCTGTAAACCATGAACATTTAAGAATTTCTATGCATTTCGAAATATTCCGAAATCGCAGTAACCAAAATCAAGAATAATTGTAATGAAATTAAGGCACAATGCATGTCATCTTAGCTATGATCTCTAAGAATTTCTATACATTTCAGAATTCGAAAGTCATTTGGAGTTCTTGTTAGAGGTCGTTCCTGTTTAAATATTTGCAAATGATGAATTTAGATTCATGAATTATCAAATAATGCCCAAAAATTCCTAAAAAAGTCATACCAGAGCCTTACAAAACGCAGATAGAAAATTCGTAAAATCACGTTAATTCACGCGACCCTAAATGACATTTTTCGAAAAAAAATTGTCGATAAACTATATTCAAATATTTCAAATGCACCTAGGTAAAGATATCTACAGTTAAATTCAAATTGTCCAAAATATACCAACTTCGAGAATACATATAAATATAAGACAATTCCAAAGCAGTAACTAAAAGCATGTGTCGACGGACCTATAACACAGAAAAAATGAAAATCGGATAATTTTTCGATAAAAAAAATCTATCTTAAAATACCTTCAAAATCTAGAATAAAAAATGAATGTTTTAACATGAATTGTAAATGTTTATTAAATGACATCATTATATATAATTAAGAAGATGTGGTATGATTGATTTTGAGACAACACTCCACCGGAGACCAAAGGACGTAGTATTAAATTATTTGTTTCGTTTTAGAAAGAAAGTTATTTTTCTTTAGCATCCCCGTATGGTTTTTTTTATCGATGGTATACTTTTATATTTTCTGTTAATATATCTAGGTTCAACTTACAGAAATGTGGTTTGATCAAATTATCCACTTAGAGTTCAAAAGACAATGACGTAAGCGACTATTGGTCACCATACGTTCTTAAACAATGAGGAAATACATACTGTATAGCCAGCTTAAAAAAGCCCCGACATTAAAAAGTAAACAAATTCAAACAAGAAAACAACGACCTGATGTGTACTAAATCAATAACCGACCAATGAATATGACAGACAACAACCAACGACAATCGGCCACTGAATACCAGGCATTGACTCCCCATAACGTTGGACAGTTTTGTAACTGCACAACAAAAGAACAAATTCTTACAACCAGTGAACCTCCTCATGGGGTTTTTGATTATGTCATTACTTGGCCGTTTCTATAGTGATTATTTGATTACCAGACCATATATTTCATGATTATTTGATGATATAGGACTGTATTTTTTATTATTTGATTATCTTGTTTAATAAAAAATAATTAATGATAATGTGATTATATTTGCCAAAAAATTGTGATTATGTGATTACTTGGACACTCCCATTAGGGGCCTCATCAGTTAGAAAGGGCTTGACTCATCAGATCAAAACGACGCAAACAAACAAAAACTACTAACAAAATTTCTAGATACATCAGTATGAATGTGTTGATGTCCAAAAAGATGAACAAATAATGGTCATTGTATACGAATTAGAACCCCTAGTGTTTTAGCGATTTATAATTTGCATAAAGTCCAGTTGCAAATATTTCATATATGGACCGAATAGTTTTGTTATTCATATTATCAATTAAATATATTTCCTACAGGAATTTCAAGCATGATAGTGAAAATAAACCTTTTTACACCCATTTTATTATCATAAGTTTGACATATTAATGTACAACGTGTGAAACAGGTATTTTGAAATAAGTATTTATGTCAGAAACCTGAATAATATTTCATCTGACGTGTTATATACATTTCAAACTTAATGTTTCAACTATTTTGCGAAATGATATACTTTTACAGATTCTTAATTACATGTTTGTAATTAAAGTATATTTATACATTATTCAAATAAACGTTACTTAGAGAGACGACTTCTTTTACTTATATAAATTATATAATATTTAAAAAAAAACTTTTGTTCAGCAAAACTTTAACAACTTATCAACATTTCATCGAGGTTCCATTTTATGATATATATTTTTTACAGAGATATATTGTTAAATAACCCCGAAGTTACATACATTATGCTGTGAAATCGGATATTTTGATTTACCCATTTAGAAAAGCTGTTTCCAATTTAATTATCTTTACTTATAATAAATAAAATAAAATAATATAGAAGAGCGCATTTAAAATGGATGTGCAAATGAGGGGGAAACGGTCATTAGCATGATACAAATATCAGCACTAGACCTATTTGATGTACCAATTATATGCTAATCGTAGATAGAAACTATCATTTCGATCTGAACGACTCCTGAAATTTTGCCATTTAGAACCTTTCCGCCCATACTCGATCAGCATTCATATAATTCATTTCATTTTCGTATTTTTAAAAAGGTGTAGTAGTGTTCCTTGAATTTTTTTCAAGTATCTAATGTTTAATATTATAAGTTATTTATTTTTTTAAAATCCAGTATATCTCATAGAAAATCCTTGTAGAAAGAAGCACAGAATGTGCGCATTATCTATATTGGGAAAACATAAATGAGCATTATAACGGTTTTTCTGAATTTTCACTAGTATACCCAGAACTGTTGAGACATACCTTTAGCGAGCAAACCACTAAATCGCCTTAAATAACTTAAAAGACATGTCTTTGAAGCTATTTAGAATTGAGCAGATACTAAATATTACGCAATCAAGTTAATGAATTTATATTCTTTGGGACTTTAAAATAGATTTGTCATTAGTTATGTGGATTGACCATAGATGCTTTGTTCCTATTTAAAAAAAAATATTAACATTATCCAAGACGAGACAGGACAATTTGTTTACAACATAGGCACACGTAAAGTGCTAACATGTACATGACAGAGGATAACAATTATATATTATTCAAACACATAATTATATACAATTGAACATGTGGAAGACAAACCACAAACAAACTTCATGATCACTACAATCATTAATATTTTTTATTATATGAAAGATTTTAGCTGATAATGCCGATCTTTCATGTTTTTGTGGGAACATAGGTTTTTTTTTTATTTTAAATTGATTGTTATTTAAAAGTTTCATAAAAAAATCGGAGAAGTCAAAATATAGTTTTGGTTTCTATTAAAACATAGTCAAAGACACACATACAAAATTGCTTAAAAATAGATCTTGTTCTCATATTTAATTGAAAAAACAGTTTTATTTTGATTAAAGTTGGTAAATATTGTTTGTCCAGGGAAACAGTCACAACAAAAGATTAATGGTCGGTGACTTATAGTTCCAATTGTTTTCTTGTTGTTATTATATGTATTTAAATTTATCATATATACTGTCATTTTTATTACATGTTTCAACACGTTATTAGGGCAGTTGGCAGTCCTTTAGTCATGGATCCCAACAGTATTTGTAGAAAAAGCAGACGATTAGCAGGAAAACAGCGGGAAATTTGCCGGAAGGAAATTGAAATTGTAGAGGAAGTTGCAAATGGTGCCAAAATAGCCTTGGCAGAATGCCAGTATCAATTTAGACATAGAAAATGGAATTGTACAACGGCTAAAAGATCTCTAGACAGAGTTATTAGGCAAGGTAAGCGCACATAAACTTTTATTTAGGGAGCTACCATTTGATTTGTATGGGGGGCTAGGATGAAATTTAAAAAAAAGGCAGGACAGGAGTTTTGAGTAATGAAAAGGCAGGATGAGCAACGTGGCAACAAAAAAGGAAGGATGACAATTTATGTGAAAAAAGTCAGGATAAACTAATAAAAAAAGGCAAGACCGAATAGAGTGAAAAATAAAAAGATAGGACAGAGATTACAACTAAAAAAAAATGCAGGACACAGTTTTTTTATCCTAGCCCCCCATAAAAATCAAATGGTAGCTCCCTTAGGGAAAGATATTAGTACACATAAACTTCATTCGTAAGTGTGAATAGAAATTCTTCTTAATAAGCTAGCATTGATATTCGTTAAAAAAAAAAGATAACCATAAATTGGTCTAAACAAGAAAGAGGTGAGCACAAATAGACCTTCTTTGAAAAAAAATATGCACCCATACATTGATCTTAATAGAAGATTTAACCACACATCGACCATCTTCTTAAAACTGAAATTCACCAATAAATTAAGGCGACTGTAGTTCACAGATGTTCAAATCGCGTAAATCTTATAAGTTTGTCTTAACAAGAAAGAGGTGTGCAAGTATATACCTTCATAAAAGAGAAGCCAACACGTCGCACATTCGTTTTACTTTAACGATACACCTAAACTTTCTTATGGAGAAAAGAAGCAACCATGCATAGATCTTACTAGGAATGAGGTAATAATGTGTGTGCTGTACATGCTGTAGTGGGAAAGAAATACACAAGTATATGTCTCAGAAAAAAAGAAATAAACACACATTTAAACTTTAGTGAACGAAAATGAAAGCACGTAAATACACTCTTTTTAGGAAAGTTGTATGAACACATTGACCTTCTTATTGAGAATGTTGTAAGTAGGCACAATTTTTTTTAAAGAGATCAACCGGTAATACCTTAGAGGTCAGCAAAAACAAATCTCATTAATACAAAAGAGGAGATTAAGCTTAAATCTTCCTTTCACCAAAGAGGTGATCAGATCAAATATTCCTAATGCAAAAGAGGTGATTAGGCTTAAATCTTTCTTACACCAAAGAAGTGACCAGGCTAAAATCTTCTCAATACGAAAGGGGTGATCAGGTTGAAACCTCCCTCCTGCCTAAGAGATGAGAATGCACATATCTTCATTATACGAAAGAGGTAGTTATGCTGAACTCTTCCTAATGCCAAACCTGTGAGAACTTACAATCTTATTTAAACCAACGAAGTGATCTTCCTTTTTATATTGCCATTGAGGTGAAGTTGCAAACTCTTTTTATAAAAGGTGAGCAGGCTCATATCTTCCTAATGCCAAAGAGGTGAGAAGGTAAACATGGTTTTATTACCACACCCTGGTTGATGGGTGTATATACGCATTGATTTTCTTATTGCTTATTGAGAGTGGTATAAGCAGACTCAAATCTCTCTTTATTAATCAGAAAGAGGTCAACATACACAATTCTTCTTAAACGCAAAGAGGTAAAAAGGTACATATCTTCATAATTATTTTTTCTTTGACCAACAAAACTGAGTCGAGACAACTATCTTCAATCTTATATGATTATACAATACTTTAATGTGGTGTTTTGATATAGTTTAACTAGTGTTGTAATAAAAATTTATTTAATAATCAGTACAATAATTACTCGGAAATGTATGGTAAATTTTAAAGCATCTGAAAGACTTGGCTTCTGATCTTAAATTTAATTTTGGCATGTGACCAGTTTACCTGTAATTAAAGCAAAGGAAATTGTCATTTTATCTCTGACAAAATATACATCCACGTTTTACCATCTCTATGCTTCGATTGAAATCATTCTCCTATGCATGTTCAGAGGTTTATTTTAAATTATATCAAAGCATTTCTGATAAACGTGATGTTTCTGGACTTTATCCAGACGTAACTAAACGAACAATTGCATTTAGACGGACAAATTTGCTTTTTAGGGTGAATCTCAAAACAGTGTTTGCAAAAAGCGTTTTCTGACTAATTTTCTACTCCTAGTTTATAAGATTTCGACTAGCAAACCCGAATCATGGTTTATCATATTAAAAACAACGTGAAAGAAATTAACCTATGATTATTTTATTTCAATACCGTAAAGGTTCTTTGAGATATTCCCCCAATATTAATTATAACACATAATCAATCTTGATAAACTATATGATAACTGCTGTGAATGCCCAATTTCATAAATTCAATAAAGGGAATTGTTCTTGAATAAAAAATTTGGATTATATATGTGTAAACATCTGGTATAACACGGTCCAGGTATATATGACCTTTGGTCATAATAAGATTAATCCTTCATACAAATTTTACGGAGGTATAAGGGCCTTTAAATTTTTCGACCTTTGAACATATTTTAAGGTGGTACCCAACACCTTCACTAAAACTAATTTGGCTCGTTTAATTTTCATAAAATTTTGACAAAGTATTTTCTTTGACTTTGACAAAAATATAAAAATTTCAAAAAATTTGAACCAACCAATTTATCAGAAAAATTAGACTGGTTATATAGCAGTTTGACAAACACTAACTTTGATCATTGAGAAGCTTAATATTCCCTTAACAACACAACGTAATTAAAACGTTTAGCTGATTTTACTCCCTTTTACTTGAGTTATCTCCCTGTAGTGTTAGGTACCACCTTAAGATTCGCCTCCTAAACGTTTTTGCACCTAGCTTTATTCTTTTTTGTCTTGAATTACAAACGTTTCGATGCAGATCAATTAAAAGGAATAAGTCCCTCTGTTTTGGTACCAGTCTTGTATCAAAAACCAAAGTTTCCAATTCATGTCAACTTATTGCGCGGAAAGAAATAGAAAAAAAACGAGTTTTTACTTTAAGGTTTTCAGAAGTTAATTTCGTGTCTCGTTGCGCTTTTGATTTTACCAGAAATCACAATATCACATTACTGCACACATGATATTTATATGACTTTTTTCTATGTAGCATTTTATTTTTTCTTATATTTAATGATCAGCTGTTTTGCATTAAAGCATATGGAGCAGTCAATAAGAAAACTGCAATCTTTTTGTAGAACCACGATTACTTCCCTTTTCTCACATCTTGCATAAAAGATAGAGAGATTCTTTTGGTTGCTTGATATGTAATGTTTTTTCAAGAAACAATTGTTAATATTATTTCTAGGGTTTCTAGGGTAAAATTGTATTTCCAATGCAAGTGATATTCAATAAGTGACGACAATCAACAATAGCCATGCAATTAGTTCAAGTTTAAAAACTTTTAAAATGGAGGTAATGGTATTTATTTATACATGAAGTACCAGTGCATTGCGCAAAATACCACAGGAAACTGTGTAAGCTATTTTTGCTTTACAGTAAATTATTTTTTAGATAATACCATATTATGTACGATTTATCTAATCTTTTAAATACAAAAATATATATATATATATTTGACTTTATATCTATACATCCATATTGAAACTAAGAGTTAAAGATGAATTTGAAAAAAAAATCATATACTAGTAGATCAAAACGTATTATTTCGTTATACTTTCTTGTCATTTTTTTGTAAATATACTTTCAAGCAATTACAATTTTAAGGGGGTCTCATTGGGGGGTTCTGATCCCGGATCCCGCTTACTGTTTTGTCAGATTGCCGTATCCCGCTTACACGATGTACGTAAGCAATTCTCATTTTTTTGTAATTTCCCGTGTCCCGCTAGACTTCATTTCCCGTTTTCACGGCACAATAATTTGACTTTCACGTGTCACGCTTACAAAAAATCGGCAATCCCGGGTCACGCTTAGACCCCAATAAGACCCACTTTTAAGTGTACTTTAAAACTACCAGTCATATCAATGTAAAAGAAATGCGAAAGATATCAAAGGGATATGCAAACTCATAAGTCGACAACAAACTGACAATGAAATAACAAAAAACCCCAAGAAAAACGACCAAAAGACTAATAACAATAGACAAAAACAAAACTAAATGTACGTGTTAAAAAGTATTGTAACATTATTCCGTATCAGTTTGTAGTAAATATTGTAATATGTAAACATCGTTACTGGTAAAATGAATTCCTAATGATGAGTTAAGAAGATTTCTGTGATTATTAAGTGTCTCTTCCTACAGTATGATAATTTGGAGGATAATTAAATGGTTAAAAAAGATAACCTACCTCACGATTTGAACTTATTTAAATCCAAAAACTCCAAGCTTAGGAAGTAAAAGAATTCTAAAGAACTAAAATGAATTCCCATATTGCTTTAGCAACTACAAAAGCGTTTTTGAGTAGTCGTTTTATGGTTTTGAAGAAATACTTCAGAAAGAATCGTTTTTTCTTAAGATCTCATTTATTTAGCAGATCAAAGGGAATAGACGCTGCGTTCTACTTTGGCAGATGACCGGCGAAAACGTTTTAGAAGTATATACAATTACACTTCAAAGAACTGTTTTATGAGTTTTTCTAAATATAATCAGGGCTGCTGCAATAATTGCGATAGCATACAACATATGCTTGAAATTAACTCTTTCTCAAAGATATATAGAAGCATTCCTGCAGTCGTAATAAAGTAAAAATCAACAAACATAACTTTCTAACTGTGTATCAATATAAGATCACTTATTCACAAAATGCTTTGCCAATTTAAACATGTAAACATTACCTTTGAAGTTTCTGTATGTCAGAGTTTTTTGCTACTGTAATTATATAATTTGTTAGGTGAGAAGAATAGATAACGTTGCAGCGAGGCAGTTAATTATTATATTAACCTGTATACATATCAAACAGTTTTCTGGACAGAGTTTATGTTTTTCAATTTCTGTTATATACAACCGTTTTTATTGCTTAGACATTACATGTTTTTCTTACCAGTTTTTATACATTGAACGTAAAGATAAAAGGGGGAAAATGAGAGGATTCAAAACAAAAATGGCTGTACGTTGTAGAATGAATTATTATATAAAAATATATAAGTAAATCCTTTTTAGATAAGAATACGGTTAATAACTTAGTTGGATTAATTTATAGAGTGAAGCATGAAATATCTAAAGAGAATTTTTTCTGAAAAATATATTTTCTTTTATTGCATGAATCTGGATATGTTTTAATAATTTTGACCTGAGAATTTATTTTTAAATAAGTTTCTTATGCCCAAATGAATATTGATAGTCATTATAAAAAATACTGTTAGGTATATCATTTATACCTGTTTTATATTTTTTTATATGCATGTTTTTACTTAATGATAAAAATGTAAAAATGTTAAATTGTTAAACATTTAGATATCTACTATACAGTATGTCTAAACGTTCTTCCCAATGCTTCATATACTAACTTGTACATGTACAACATTTCAAATTAATAATTTATCTCATCTATAGAAATATCGTTCAAATCCCTCTGTCCCTTTCCCCAAGTATTAATCGTAACCAATACAAACACTAAAATAATTTTTGCTTTCTACATACAGTCTTTCAAGTGTTCAGAATATGCTAAAAACAGGAAAATCTAAACAATCTAGATCTATACGATCTATACAAGTGTTTGTTGGGCGTAAATATATACAGAACATCCATAAAGATACAAGACAAAACACGTGACTCAGATTAATTAATCCCACAAAGACAAACAGTCACTACACAGCGTTACAAATAAATCACCGTTTCAGAATGGGTAATATATTCAAAGTGTACATCAAAACGTCATGATTGGTTTAAAACGTCCCAAACAATGAAAATTCAACCAATGACCTGACGTTATTATCATTTTGGGGTAGGAATAATAAAATTACCCATAGTCCTTTACATTCTAAAACGGTCACTGGTGACAACACTGTCTACCCCAGTCAACACTTCGTGTAAATTGACATGACTAGAACTGACTAGGAATACGCAGAAATCATTAAAAACAAGTCGAATCGGATACTTTCTACCTAAATTTCTGAATACATATCCCCAGTCAACACTTCGTGTAAATTGATATGACTAGAACTAACTAGGAATACGCAGAAATCGTTAAAAACAAGTCGAATCGGATACTTTCTACCTAAATTTCTGAATACATATCCCCAGGCAACACTTCGTGTAAATTGACATGACTAAAACTAAGTAGGAATACGCAGAAATCGTTAAAAACAAGTCGAATCGGATACTTTCTACCTAGATTTCTGAATACATACGGATGTAAGTTACTTTCTATTTTGTTCAGACTTCTATTACATGATCCCAAGGTTCAGTAGCAATATTTTTGTCTGACCTCTGAAACATGTGTTTTATCACCAGTAATCAGCTTCTTTGTGTTAACATGGAATACCATTTATATGTTATTTTCTGTAAATTTACTGTTTATAAAATGTTGAAGTATTTGAAACACTAATGTTTTTCTTCCCCAGGTATAGATTGACTTAGCCATATTTGGCACAAAATTAGTTGGTTTTCTTTTCTTCTTGCAATCTGAAAGGTTAAGCTATTTCCAATTTATGTTTAAAGCTTGATTTTATGTTGTGCTGTCGCGCGCCTGTCACAGGTTAAATGAAGGCTATACTCCCATAAACATGTTTAACTCTGCCACATTCTGTATGTGCCTGTCCCAAGTCTGGAGCCTGTTATTCTGTGGTTGTCGTTTGTTGCTGTCTATTATATCTGTTTTTTGTCTATTGCTTTTGTCATAAATCAGGCCATTGGTTTTCTTGTTTTAATTGTATAACATTGTGTCCTGTCGACTATACGGTATAGGTTGTGCTCATTGTTGTAGACCGTATGGTGACCGATAGTTACTTAATAACTTGAAAACAAAATGGGAATAACTTGAAAACAAAATGGGAATAACTTGATAACAAAATGGGTTTCACTTGATAATAAAATGGGTATCACTTGATAATAAAATGGGAATAACTTGAAAACAAAATGGGAATAACTTGATAACAAAATAGGTATCACTTGATAATAAAATGGTAATAACTTGATAACAAAATGGGAATAACTTGATAACAAAATGGGAAACAATCCAACAGAGATAAATTAGGAACTGATTTGATCAAATGATAATAACCAAAAACAGTTATGGCAGATAACAATAAACGGACACCACAGGACTAAATACTTCTTAATTTGGACACATTAAAAATCTGGTGGGTTGAATATGATTGTGAGCGCTAAACCCTTCAAAATCCCCCCGTTTTCTAGGACACTTGTGTCGCAAAACAAAATAAAAACACGCTGATAACAAAAAGAGAAAAGGGCACGACTTATCAGATCTATATTAAAGATGGAAACGACAAACAAATGGACAAAAGAGGCAAATTACCTATCTAAGAGTACTTGCAGTCACTTAAAGCTTGTACAAATGTAACTTTACATTTTATTTATTCGTTGATATTATTATATTCCCAAAACGAGAGAGGCGAAATGTACTAAAGGAATATTCAAACTCAAGTCAAAAACAAACAGACAATGCCATGTCAAAAAACGACAACACACAAACAACAGTACACAATACACAACATAGAAAACTAAAAACTAAACAGCACGAACCTCACCAAAATCCTATGGTGATCTCAGGTGCTCCAAAAAGGTAAGCAGATCATGCTTAACATGTGAGACCGTCGTGTTGCTCATGTAGTACAAACTCTCTGATAAGTCTAATTGTATAGGACACAAACGAGGAAAAAGGACAGGATTGTGGTTACATCAATCTGATTATATCCGTTGTCATCTGTGAAACAGATATTTCATAACAGTCAACCAACTAGTGATGCAGTGTGTAAAATTTACGAAGGGATGACTTCAACTTCACCACTTAAAACTCTTGGTTTGATAACTTCGTTGTCAGCAACCTTCGATCTAGGAAACTATGATAGGAAATGAAAGCTCTGGAATATCGTATCAAATGTGAGATATATACACCATATGCAGGCGCTTCTGGAATGTTGCTACTTATAAATAGACAGTTATCAATTAGGAAACTGATAACATCTCTTTTGTCGTAATATTTTATTCACATCCGACTCCTATTTTAAATTTTGAGATGTATGTCAAAATGAAAGGGGATATTCCGTGGCCGAGTGGTCTAAGTAGTTGAACTTCTGTACCACCAGGCTGTCAACACTGAGGATGTGAGTTCGAATCCCTCACGTTGCAGGTGCGCTCGACTCCAATCTTAATTGACTAGGATTGTCAGTTTTCCTACCGAAGGTCGGTGGTTTTCTCCGGGCACTCTTGCTTCCTCCATCAATTAAAACTGACCGCCACGAAATAGCACAACAGTGTTGAAAGTGGCGTTAAACACCAATCAATCAATCAATCAAAATAAAAGACAAACTTACGGATGTCTCAAATGTAACTACATTTGAGTGTACTAACTGTAGATTCCATTTGTCAAATGTGGATCAGATATACTTAGCCTTCCGGAGCACCTGAGATCACCACCGGTTTTTGGTGGGGTTTGTGTTGCTCAGTCTTTAGTTTTCTATGTTGTGTTTTGTGTACTGTTGTTTGTCTTTTAGTTTTTTTTCTTTGTTTTGTCATGGTGTTGTCAGTTTATTTCGACTTATGAGTTTTAATGTCTCTTTGGTATCGTCGCCTCTCTTTTGCCTTAAGTCCCAAATTTAAAAGCAAGCATAAACCGCTTTTTCTTTATGTGAGGTAGATTTTTACATGATTTTCAGTTTTTTCCAATATATTACACATAAACTCTGATTTGTTTCATCTTTATTTCAATATTCTAATTTTAGATACAAGAGAGTCGGCGTTTGTTTATGGCATTACAGCAGCTGGAGTTGTATATTCAGTAACAGAGGCTTGTAATATGGGACATCTCTTACAATGCACGTGTGATAATCACGTGCAAGATATAACAACAGATGGTGAATGGGAATGGGGAGGGTGTGGGGATAATGTAGAATATGGATATAAGAAAAGCAAAGAATTTATGGATGCTCGTAAGAAAAAGCGCCGTGGTGATCTAACAACAAGAATTCAACTCCACAATAATGACGCTGGAAGATTGGTAAGTTTGCATTAACAAGATGATTAACGGTTTCAATTTTTTTACACCAGACGCGCATTTCGACAATTGATTTCTCATCATTGGTGTCCATATTTGAAAGTCCAAAACCTAATACAAACATAGAAGAGCTGATCAACAAAAAAGGATTTCCCTTTCATACTTTCATTTTTCTCAACTTTACACTTTACAGGAACGGTGGACTCTTTGAGATGATAGTAAAACCTTTATACACAAGCTTATGCAAAACATTAAAATAAAATAACAGTTTATAAATTTCGTGCATTAAAAGCATTTTTCTTAATTAACCTTATCAGGGACGACCAAACCTTACTATTGAAAGCCAGGGTTTGTGTAAACACGTAGAAACGTTATGAGCTATATGTCCGAAAGGTCAATTTTGCATGTGGGAGTTGGAACCATAGTTTCTTAATAATCTTAATCTATCAATGAGGAATTTTAGAAATGTATGTTATAAATGATACCAGTACCTCGGGTACTTCATGTGGTGTTTCAAACGTGAGACGAACAGTACATTTTACATATGGTTCATACTGAACAAATAGGGAATAGTTTCATTTGATGGATGTTATTTTTTCAACAGACAACCTGTGATATCGTCTCTTTGTTTCTATATTCATGTGCCCTTCCCAGGATGAAAGTAGTTTAACTGCATAATAATGTTCTTTAAAAGAACAATTCAAAGTTAGATGACATTGTTTTGTTTGAAATACTGGAGACGAAGATAGTATTAATCAAAAGAATTCTGAGGTATATGTAAACGACACAGCAACACAACGACAAAAGTAACAAAAAGTCATCTAGAGGGCAAAATCAGTCTTAAACAATAGATAGGTGTCTACTCAATACGTCCAGCTCTAAATCGTCCAAATACTGTACAAGGTGTTATTTAATTTAACACAAATAATTTAAGATCTGCCAGGACACTTAATTTTTCAAATCACGAAAAACATTCATCTGATTAAAAGATTTTAACAAGAGTACCACAACGAATGTCACTACTGGCAAAGGAGTTAATGAGAAGTACCAGATTTCACCCTTGTATTTGGTGCGATTCTACTGTTGGTGGTAGAATGTCAGTACTACAAGTAGAATGTGCTTTCTGAAATTGGAACTCGCATGTTTGATAATAAATTGTTTTGATTCAATATTTTCAGATTATAACTATGTTATTCTACACGTAAAAACTAAATTGACATCTGCCCAATATAGACTTACCTCAATCTGAAGTTATCTCACTTATCCCATGTAGACACCAGCGTACCTTTAACGTAAATGAACTATGTTTTGTCTTTAATTGTTACATCTTCTTATATTACAGACAGTTAAAAATCATATGCGAACCGAGTGCAAGTGTCATGGACTCTCTGGATCATGTACGTTAAAGACCTGTTGGCGAAAAATGCCAATTTTTCGTCATGTTGGTTTCATATTGAAGCAGAAATTCGATGGAGCTATACAAGTTCAAAGTTCAAATGACGGAAAACGTTTAGAGACCGTAATAGATACATTAAAACCACCAGCCAAAGCAGATATTGTTTATTCTGAAAAATCGCCTTTATTTTGTAAAAGAAACAGAAAAATAGGTTCCTTAGGGACTAAGGGTCGGGAGTGTGTTCCGGACTCTATGGGAGTAGGTGGTTGTGACTTATTGTGCTGTCAAAGAGGTTACTCTACGCATAAGATGACAATACGGGATAACTGTAAATGTCGATTTATTTGGTGTTGTGATGTCCGTTGTGAGACGTGTATGCGAGAGAAAACAATATACCGTTGTTTATAGTAATTTATTTCAAAAGACGATTGACTAAAGCTTAAAGCAACTTATAGAAACTTTATAAGACTATAAGTGTACCATTTTGACCAGTCAGAGTTGTTTCTTTTGCAATTGTGGAAAGTACCGCCGTGAAATATGTTAAAGAGGTATTTGACCAATCACGTAAAACAACTATACGAAACTGTGGTGCAAATTTCAACCAATCGTATGAAAAGTTAAAATGGTCACATTGCGTTTTTAGCATAAACAGCCAATCAATTATTAGACAACATTGTTGTCACACACGATACTGACAACTGATACAAATTGCTGTAATTATTGTTATGTGTATATTTATATTAACAAATTGCATTTTCTTTGACAATTTCTCCTAGTAAACATTTTAGTTTTGAGATATTTTATATAAGAAAGATTATAAAATACTTAAAATCAATGCCTTGCTATTTCTCAATCTTCGAACAATAAAATGTTTTGAGTTATTAGGTTATAATAGATAAAACAATATCCCATATCAGTTAATATGTCGTATTTGTGGGTGGGTAAGGAGATCTATTTGGTAATGTTTCAGAAAATTTATGATGAAAAGAAACGTACCAGACTAAAAAAATAAAGCAAAAAATCAAAATACAGCCCTTAAATGCACAACATTTAAATCCATCAAAAGTACTATCCATCCGACCCCGAACCTTTTTTTTCAGACATTAACTTGAAAGGTCATATGTCCTTCAAATTAACGAAATGCTATACGCTATTGTGAACTGTTGGTTAAATAGAATATTTTGCTGTCTATTTATTTTTCATAAGTATCTATTTGCCATTTTTAGATAAAACAATCTGCAATTAAGTTAGACTAAACAGTTTTGTTGACGAAAACTGAACTTTTTTACATTTTAGTGCGTAAATTTGAAACCAGCTGTAAAATTTTTACAAAGTAAAGAAATGGTCAAAGGTACAACTGCAAATATATAAAAAAAAATGAACAACATTAACCATAAAAGCTAGAATACAGCAAATATTGTCTAATTGTTGGACCTCAAAGCATAAAAATGTGCAGATCTCGTGAAGGACAGAATTCTGTTTCGGAAATTTTTAACTATATAATGGTTGTACTATTAATCTTTTTTTTTGTAACCAGTTAACAACATTTATTTCTTCATAAATCTTATATCTGTATTTCGAACATGTCTACATACAAACTATAGTTGTGTTTAAACTATTTAAGATGTTTAACATTCTTCTTAATTTACATGTAAGTGTCTACGCTACAGGTCGATGCAGATGCAACATTCCCTAAAGGTTCACATACACTGACTTTCACCTATGATAGGTCACTTCACTTTTTAAATGAATACTTTTAAATGTGTCCGCTAAAATCTTCATGGCTATCTTTTCTTTCATTGTAATTGTTATTTTGGAAAACAATCGAGAGAGTAACCATCTGAATAAGATGAGAAAACTGAATTGCGGTAAAGCTTGTATTTGAAGTCTCAAATTTTTTTCCCCATTTGTCTATCAAACATTGATACTAGAAAAATATTTTATGATTCTTATTTTATGTTATATCATTTTAGCTCAAAATCAGCGATTGCTTGACCATAACAAGAATTTGAATGACTATTACTTATATCAAGACATGGAGATGTGGGTTGTTCGTCAATGTGACGACAACGGACCATTCCATTTAATTTCTGAACAGGGGGTGGATGGTTACCTTGTCAAAGACCCCCTTAAGAAAATTTTCAGGCAAATTTCGATCACTCAGTTGCTTGACTTAAAACCCTTCAGATGCCAAATTGTGCCATCAACCCCTCATTTTTACATATTCAAACAAAAAAAGACCCTCAGAAACAAAAATGGGCACCTCTCAGATATATTATGAACTAGTCCGTACCCCTAAGAAATGAATTTTGATACCCTCATAAAAAAAACCATGCACCCCCTTTTTCATATGTTAAAAGGAATTGTCTCACACAACATTAAAAAAAACATTCTCGAGTGCAACATACTGTTAACGAATTAATGTCAAAACAATATGTAAGATCCTAATCGCCACGAGTGAAAACAATTGTGAATAAATGTATGAACAACTATTTATGATTTCCTAAATTTAAAGACTTAATTGTTTAAGAAATTGTCATGTCGGGCCTTTTATAGTTTACTTTATGGTATCGGTTTGGCACATAGTTGAAGTCCGTACGGTGACCACTATTTGCATTAATCCAATTCATGTGGACATTGATGGAAAATTGTCTCATTGGCAATCATACCGCATCTCCAAATTTATATATATGTATGAGTCCACAAAACCTCTCACTGTGTTTTTTCTACACTACCGAGATGCATTGATGCATTTAGTGACAAAGTAATTTTCAAATCAAAGCAGGAAAAGATATATATTGTAATAATATTTACCTTTGGTGTCTAATTATCACTCCGCTATTTGATAACCTTATTTACCTTTAATAAATGACCGGTACACTTTCGTCGAATGATTCGTCTAGCTTTGTGGAATGTTTCGTCTGCATCTATCTGTAGATTTTTTATAAAGTGTTGATGATGTAATGATAAGTCTTCCAGCTATTGTACATGTATTTTAATTATTAGGTCAGTTTTATGTTTTATTTGTACAGTATTATTGTAAAAAAATGGATATTTTTAAAAGCTACAAATCTGTATATTTTCATATGTGCGTTGTTTTAGGTCCATTAAAATCTTATTTTTTTTCAATTCTTATGATAAGTTTTTAGTTGCTTGCATTTACATGCTTCAAAAATCTTTTTGTGGTTGACAATTTTACGGAGGTTAGCTTTTGGTGGATCAAACTTGAGTCGACAAGTAGCTGCTAATTTTCACAAACGACGAATTTATGGGGTGCAACTTTAATATTTTAAATGAGGCTTGGTCACTACCTTAATGGTTATAGACTGAATGTATGTGTGCTGGCAAATGTGACTTACTACCGAAATGATTTAGATATCGATGATAGGTAATTTTGTTTTGCTCATTTGAAATATTTCTGTTCATTTTTTTGTTTGCTGTTGAGGTTTGTCATTTTTGTTTGGCCATGGTATTGTCTATTCCTCTTCGACATATGGTTTTTCATCACATTCATGGGTGCTCATTCTCTTTTGACAAACATCTGACACAATTACCAAGTCATTAAAAGACAAACAGAGTTACGAAGAAGACAGGAACAACCCATCAAAGAAAACATAAAGGTCTGTTGATCTAGTTGCTTGGTACTCGAGTTTGCCTTGTTTTATCTTCATCAGTGAAATAACAAATAAACGTGATATTTGGTTGAATTGGAAACGTGATGTTCTTTAAAGTAATAACATTTAGATCTTTGATAGTCAATGAAACAAAAAACCAAACAACACAAAAATAGTTTTTATCTTAGAGATTAATACACAGTCTTCAATAGTAGATGTCTATATAGTATATATGCAGTATGTCTAGCACTAAATCACTCATAAGTCGAAAACAAACTGACAAAGCCATTGAAAAAAAACGACGAAAACACAAAACACAACATAGAAAACTAAAGACTGCGCAATACGAACCATATCAAGGAGGGATAGTCATGGTGTTTATATAAGTACAAACTCCTTGATAAATCTTAATTCGGTAGGTCACAATCGAGGAAAAGAGGAAAGGAAAAATTTCAACTTTAACATTTGGAACTCTTGGTTCAGTAGCTTCCTTGTAAGCAGCAATCTTCTATCAATGAAACCATGAAAGGAAATGCAAGCTCTGGAATATCGAGTCATTTGGGAAATCTATTGTAACAGGAGGGTCGGGTCGCTATGCGTCAACGTCCCCTCGTGTTTATTGAACGTGTCTGGCTCATCTGGACAAAGGTTCGTTCCATTGGGACTGAGCTCTGGCAAATGAGACCCAAAACAGATGTTCCGATACTTTAATATTCTAAATAAAATTTATACATGTATAATGAAGCCAAAACATAATTTAGGTAAATAAAATCCACAGTCAAAGAGTGCGGAGCTATTTCAGCTCCTCTTGGTCTAATTCAGACCCAGTAAAAAATGTTTCTTTGATAAGTCTATTCTTTTCACAAGTACATCTTAGTAGGTATAATTCCTCCATACGAATGTCAAAGTCTTCTACAAAATATCCAGTAAATTGAAGAAACGTCTACAAAATCATCACAAAATAATTTCATTTAAATATTCAATTCATTATTCCGCTCTTGCACAGTGATATTGTTCATTTTGCGTCATCCAAGTTTTGTCAAGGGTGATTATTTCAGCATCTCCGTTACAATATACTATATTTGTAGAGGCTGCTGAAATGTGCTACATAGGAATGGAAAGTTCACAATTTTGAAGCTGAAATCATCTCTTTCTCAACCGATCCTCATTGTCAATTTCTAGATGTGAGCCAGTCAAGGTATGACAAAGAATGTCAGATTTACCATTAATATCGAATTCCCAAAATGTCACTATAACAATTTGATAAAACAAAAAACCAACCACTGACGACGCACCTCGCATGGAGAGGCACATACACAGGCGACGGTGTTTTAAACTGGTTGTTTCAGTCTCTATCCTTTCCCTTTTCTAGTGAAATTACAAAGACTACTTAACAGTATTCAAGAAAAATCGATGCATTGAATATTTGACATGTATGTCGCTGCTGAAAAATTGTGAGTGGAGGTTGATGCATTTCAATTGTATATTTAGGAAACACTCTATTGTTTATATGGAATATATAGACTGAACATCTACAGGTACTGTTGGAAATGCATATCAAGGGGTGTTCAATTAAGCCTTTTTGAAGTAACGTCATAAGCCTTGTTTCAAACAGCTAAGAAATGAATCTGTTAAAACGCGTTTTATTTTATTTTTGTATGATTTGTTTATTCTTACTACATAGGTTGAAGATAATCAAAAGTGTTTTCTTGACTTTTTCTGTGTTGACATTTCTGTAAATATATATTATGGGCATTGCATAAGATTTCTTTTTTGTCTCACTTAACTGTTTATAACAAGGTGTTGCTATATGTATCCATTTGAACAGTGTATCTACCTGTTATCTACTTTTAATTTTAGTATTAAAAACTCATCAACAATACCAGGCGTATAATTAGGTACGCCAGACGCGCATTTCTTAATTAATAGACTCATCAGTGGCGCTCGAATCGAAAAATGTATAAGGCCAAATCATGTACAAGGTTGAAGATCATTGCGATCCAAAATTCCTAAAAAGTGCATTTCCTATATTGGTTACTGTGGATTCATTTATTTTCGTGGGTACCAATTTTCGTGGATTAAGGAAATCTTACATATTCGTGGATATTTAATTTCGTGGTTTTTGACAATGTCTGCATACAAGCCTATAGTAAATTTGCCATTCGTTGAACTTTCAATTTCGTGGTTAACATATAACTACGAAATCCACGAAAATTGGTATCCAATGAATAATAATGAATCCACAGTAGTATAGCACGTTCTTTTTTGTACTTTTGGTAGTTCTTTCATTGAGATTATAAGTTGAGGTTCTAAAGAAAAAAGACTCGTTCTGTCCAGCCAAATATCAACAATAGATATAGGAAGATGTGGTATGAGTGCCAATGAGACAACTCTCCATCCAAGTAACAATTTATAAAAGTAAACCATTATAGATCAAGGTACGGCCTTCAACACGGAGCATTGGCTCACACCGAACAGCAAACTATAAAGGGCCCCAAAAATTACTAGTGTAAAACCATTCAAACGGAAAACCAACGGTCTAAACTATATAAAAACGAGAAACGAGTTAGGACAGGTGCAAACATTTAAGCCTGTTCCATTTCGAGAACGTTGTCCGTGGTTGTCCTGGCATATACTTAAATGCTTTTTGGTGTCATTGTTGGTGATGATAGATCTTCCATGGTGTCTGTTAACTTGACGTTCCGCGTGAGAGATGATGACCTCTCAAAAATATTTCAAAATTTGTTTAATACTATGTTGAACTCATCTATCCAATTGAATTTAAAATAAAAGATGCCATTTTAACTGGAAAACATTTCCATCATGGAAATACATTTTCGAGAATTGATTGATTGATTATTGTTGTTTGCACTCACCCTATGAAGGGAATTATATTTATCCTCCCCATTCTGACCTCACGTGGCTGAGTATTTCCTTATCCGGCATAGTCAAACGACGTCAAATTTTAGCTGAAAAGTTAAAATGCCGGACAGGGGAAGACCATGGATGACCATATTTCTATATATCAGTGAACCCCATGTGATCTATTGGATAAGACGCATTCGATATATGTGTTTTATTTTGATATTAATTAACGTTATTGCAATCACAAAAAGAAATACATGGTTTTACATATGACCGCATTGTCGAGTAATGCTCTGTCTGTAAACTATAAGCGATATCAATAATGGAGGCTACTGTTTTATTGACATATCCTTGTTTTAGGAACTACAAAGAGTTTCGTACAGTCGGGTATGGCTTATATCTTGACTAACATCTATAAATTTGCAATGAGGAATGTGAAGAACAAACCTTACAACTTAAAGAAATTATTTCAGTTTTCTAATTGTGACCTGTCCATTTCTATACAGCAACAATTTAGCAGCGCCTGCATATGCAGTATATATCTCCCAGTTGATACGACATTCCAGATTTTGTATTTCTTGTAATTTCACTTATGGAGGTTTGTTGCTTACAAGGAAGCCTTTTTACTAAGGATTTCTAGTGGTAAAGTTGAAGTCATCCCTTCGGAAGTTTTACTTGCGCAATCATGAGTTGATTAACCGTTATGGAGCATCTGGGTCACAGATGATCATGATATGCTCCAATACGCAGCCATTCTTCCGTCCTATTATCTTCGATTCTGACATTATTGAATGAAACTTAACACCGAGTTTTTACTTACCTTAAGCAACAACACATGTCCAACACGGTTTCTGTTATTCAGTCTTTAGTCTTTAATGTCGCTTTTGCAGACTATTGTTTGTCTTTTTGTTGTTTTTAAGTTTTTTTGTGATGATTTGTTGGTCTCTTTTTGCCAAATGAGCTATGATTATTTCCTATCTTCCACTGAATGTTAAAAGTTATTCACATTTATTTCAACTATGGAAGATGAAGTGCTTGTTTTATACATGTAGTATAGACAACCTCCTTTTTGATAAGACTGTATGTTAATTCTGATATATTTCTGTGTCGATTTTCATATCTTATTGGCGCATACTACACGTCTTGTATTACTCATTGTCCTTGTCTTCCTTTTACCAGGACTGTAACATCACCAAATGCCATTTATCAACGAATTTTTACTTGCCATGAATAACACAACTGTGTTACCTTTCGGATGCACCTGCGTTCACCCCCATAAATGCGTGAACTTTTTGTTGCTCAATTCTAATTCTTAGTGTAGTGTTTTATGGACTGTTTGTTCTACCGTCCATTTTTTTGCTATGGTTGTTACTGTTTGTATTCAACTTGTAATTTTATATTGCCTTTAGGTAACTTTCAAATTTTTGAAAACTGAAGAAAAGGTTCGAAGGCTGGAACATAATCGCAAGATATTGATCCAAAAAATCAAATAAACTGATATCTGGTTGGGTAAACAACAAGTGCAAAACAAACAATAAACAATTTCAATGAATGTAGAAATGTAATTTTATTCTAAAAATAGAAAACAACAGATGGCAAGATCATGCAGAAAAAAAGAATTTAACAGCAGCAAATCAATCACTAATTGCTTGTAAATCGTTTTAATTTCTTCGAAAAGCTTTAATATGCATCCCCCCACTAAATGTGTTATTCTATGAATAACTCTAACCTTTGATTATGAGGAAAAAACAGGTATTGTTGTTTTAATTTTGTTTCAGTATCATACAAATATATATATTGATTGGATACATTTTGTTTTGTGTGTGGAATGATAAAGTATGATTCAACATTCCATAGAACTGAACATAAAATACAGGCACGTAATTATTTTACAAACTAATTTTCAATGTATCTCTGACTATTCTTGTTTTTTTTAAACAGACAAAACCCGTCATTAAAAGTAAAACGCTTATCATTTTCAGACGCATAATAAACTTATTTGATGTAAAATTTGAATTTAATGCAACGTTTTTGAAAATTTAAGAACTGCTTAACTTTCCGGAAGAAACTGAAACCCAAGGTTTTAAGTGGTTCCAATTTTTTTCTTTTATGTAGTGTTTGGATGTTTTCTATTGGCTATCATTATGGCTGCTCTTATCAACTTGACATTTTTATTGGCCGCTGTGTATTTTTTCTTCGAGTTTTATACCTTTATAGCACAATACAAATGTAAGAAACTATATGACACATTTACAATAAGTTTATGCTAAACAAATAGAGGAACAAGTAACACATCTTATACAAAATGTGGAGGAAAAAAATAAATAACTTAAATAAATGATGAATTTATGAAATCCAAGATAAATCACGTGCACCCTTAACATATATATATTAGAAACTTATGAAATAATAACTTTAAAGATAACTTATATTGATAAATCAAATAGAAATGCATCATATTTTCACATATAGATATGCAATGGCTGAGTATCTTATTTCATTATGTTGATTACTTCATGGCTTATCTCAGCAGAAAATCAAAAGTAATCAATTTAGGCTGTAGAACAAAAATGAAATAATGCCCTACCCACGTATATAGCGTTATCTTCATTTGAGGTGCCCGAATAAGATAATTAACTGTAATACTGCAACTGCCTTATTCGTGACGTTGATAATGGCTTTTCGACGATTTTTATCTTTAACTTCGTGAAAAATGCAGGTTTGCGGATTTCTTTCCGTTGGTCACTTTAATTCCAATTATTGATTTCCACCAAGTATAATGTCTTGAGAACATTTTAAAGAGAAACAACCTTGGATTGTCTCAAATATAATGTTTATTGAACTTGGCTTGAAACAGGATAGAAGCCTTGCACAAATGAATTGAAAATTTTGAGAAAATGAATAGTCATTCTATATATATAAGCTTGACGTATAAGACTTATCCGTTATACATTTAATGCACGTGTAAAGGACGATAGAGTTGTCTTCCTTTGACCATATACATAGTTTTTACGGAATACTGGTTAATTCCCTTGTCCAGCCACCTTTATTTGGTAATTATGATAAACTCATTAAATTTTGACAATACATTTATTATGGCGTGATTTGGAAACACGAATTTACGAAAGAGGACCATCAACCTCGGAAAAGGAGACATTAAAGTCCTCAGGGAACAAAAATATTTAATAGCACTTGTTTTAAAATTCCATTATAAGACAGTTGGATATTAAATTTAGGTAAAAGGGATATTCTGTTCATAAAACTGTTTTAATAGTATAAAACAAGTGATCTTTGACTGCTTTGTAGTTCAAAAGCTAGTTTTGTTATTTTTGGACAGTCCATTTCAGAAAAGTTTTTCGATATGTGTAGTTTGTAAAGTCTATGTATCTATTTCAATTTGAGATGACCGAACATTCTGTTATACGATTTAGCGCCCCCTACCCCCTCCCTTGCTTTTTTCTATTCAATCTTTCAGAAACCGGGAACTTAGGGTCTGTATGGGTTTATTTTTTTAATTTATTTCATATCAATGTCTTTAAATAACATTTTAAACTGATCATATGTAGATTGCTAGAACAAATTATTAACTAAGAATGATTTTGAAATGACGTATGTATGACATGTATGGCATTGTGGTTAAAAAGTTTGATTTGATTGGGTTTTTTTTATCTTCCTGGCTTCCTGATATGTTTGTAATATTTGACTTGACAATACAAATAAAAACAGAAAAAGTCTTGCATAACATTTGGTGTAGTGTGGAACATTTTACTAATATATATGTTTTACAAGTTCTCGAACCTACAAAAAAAATAGAGGCATTTCTTGAATAATCGATTAATCAAGGAGGAGCTGCTTCACAAAAGGGTAAAATGAAAAAAATAATATATACGTGCAGCTACAGATCACAAAAAGGTTAATTGTGATAAAGCCCATAGACATAATATTTTGTATTCAAACTTCTATGAAATAAAAGGGTAACTGGTATATAATGATAAAATGTTATATATACATTTCAGAATGCAAATACAAATAATAAAATAATATGTAATGTATGAGCGACAAAACAGTATAAACGTAACGAATTGATTTACAAATTTGTAAGAAATTGGAAAAAAAAAACACAAAAAAAATTTTTTTTTACATAAAAGAAGGCAACTATGGCAAATTTATCATTCTGCCTAATAGTTTTTTTAACTGGCTTGCAATTCTTAGTGAACTTTCAATTTAAAAAAAAACTTCTCAAAACAGTTGTCATTCTCATTAACCAGTTTTCAAATAATAACAGGAAATGAAAGTACAATAACATTTTAAGATTTTTTGTGTGTACCTTTCACTTATGAATGATTTTCTATCTAGGACATACATTGTTTTTCTTTTTTGGATCGTTGAACTTAAGGAAATCATGACCACGTGATCACGATAATTCTTACGGAATCCGTACAGGTGATCACGTGATTTTTAAAAGTCTTACCGAATCCGTACTTTAATTTTCAGGGATGCATTCTTTTGCGTTTAACCCTTTCTAGTCCAATTCGCTGCAATTTACTTTTGGTTAATTTCTTACTTTCTTTACATAATTTATAGAAATGAAAATGTTATCTTGGCATATTCGCGTAAGAAATATATTCGCATTAGCTTCCTAATAGCAAAGTAAACTATCCAACATACAAAAGACCAAAATCAATCACTCGCGAAGATTAGTTGGGTTAATTCAAATGGTATTTCACGTTCGAACTCATCAGACTATTAGATAAACTGATGTCCAACATAATCATTTCCTCTTATGCTACCGTCATTCTCAGTGCAGTAAGGATAACTTTAACATATCCCCAAAAACTTGTTTTCCAAAAAGCACAAATTATACTTAGCGTGACCATTTCTAACATGTATATACATTGATATATGGCCACATTGTTTCACATAACGAATTACGTTTCATATTATAATCAAACGATGCTTATAATTAATTATTTACAAAATGTACAGCACCAAAACGTTCAGTAAATGCATTAAATAAATCGTATAAATTAATCTTTCCAACAACAAAAAATCAGTTACACATATTTCGTATTTTCTTTCTTGTGCAAATCTCACATTTAACGTGACAACACCAATGAAATATACAACTACATCGTTCCTTCACAGTATATTCATTCGAGGTATAACCACGCCCACAACACATGAGGTCACAACCTTCAATTCCTATGGATGTGGCATTGCATTCTCTCCCTTTAGTCCCTTCGAAATCTATTGATGTGTCTTTATCACAGAACGTAGGAGAGTCTTCAAAATAAACAAGATCCCTCCGACCAGGAGGCTTGTGATTAAAGTTTACAGGCTCGAAACGAAACTTATTTTTTCTAAGTTTTCCTTTCCCTTTCTTCTTTTTCCGTCGTACACTTCCATTATTATCTATCAAATATAAGAGTAAATCTTTATACGAATCACAAACATAGATATCAATATTGTAGTTTGATATGATAGCATGCAAAAATAACAGGTCATATGACAGAAGATGTTTGCCATTAAAAAAAAATGTTTCAACATAAATACATGCAAAAAACTACAAAAATGTTAATCTTTTAAAAATCAATTATTAATTAACTTTTTTATGCCATTTCACATCTAATTAAGATAAATTGATATTTTGATAAAATCAGTTTTATAGAACTGTAAACCCAAATTGAGAGATATAAGGTTTCTAAACACGATCTAAAATTTCTGAACCAAAAAATAATTAAGTTATTTTACAAACATTTTATTGCAGAAAATCAAGTACTGTTAAGAAATTTGCTTGCAGACCATTCAGATACGTTACATCACTTCACAGGGCCTGCCCTCTTTACGTGTTTTGCATAGGTAAATCACAACCCTGTGCGCTATTAGAACAACTTAAAGAGTTTTAATTTGGCAGGAAATAATGTACTTGTTTTGTTCCCAATTAACAAGTTTTCAAATTTAATACAGAATTAACGTTTGCATTCTTCAGTTTAGCTTTTGACAATGCATTTGATTTATTAAAAGTAATATGAAAAGCATTACAGCACATGCACAGGTTCTCCGAAGCCCAACAAAAATACACATTTTGTTAAAAAAGCAAAAGCGTCAGTGCATCATACATTCATATATATAATTACGTAAATGATTAAGAATGAAATTTGTTGAGCTTTTAGTGTTCGCATATGAAACTAATATTTAACCTCAATATAAAAATAAGGAGATTTGGTATGATTGCAAATAAGACAACTATCCACCAAAATTCAAATAATGTGGATGTTAGCAATTATTGTCAACCGTACGTCCTAGCAATAATGGATTCAACCCAAGCCTTCACTTTTAAACCGAAAATTATGATTTATTTAAGCCGTTCTGTCTTTTGAGAAATTTCCAAAGAGGCATTTGTGAAATGAAAATATAACAGATGTTCCGTGTAAGAAGTAGAGTCTTAAAAATTACTACAGTGACTTTTTTAATTTAAAACGATCATACAGAAGATCCTAACTAGCTTCCAACAAACCAATGAAACATATACAAGTGTAGGAAAGATAGAAAATGACAATTCAACACCATGAATACAATTAATCTGGCAATCAAATTGAACTCTTTAATTGCCTATGAAATACAAGAATGGTTCAGAAGATCCAGAAAGGTAAACATGTGCTACATGGGAATTTAAATAAATCTTATACTTGTCGCAGATATAAATGGGAGTAAAAATTGGTAAATGCATGGTATTAAACAGAAAGAAATCAGATTATTGTATGAGTTACCATCTGCTAATAAACCAGCTCAAATTCAGGTTTATTCGATTTTGATGAATAATGTTTCTGTAATGGTACTCTAAGCGATAATATTTTTAAATTCGAGTCAAAAAGGAAACTCTAAATACCTGACACAAGAAACAGAACTGTATTTGACTTGATGATCAGGTACCTTATGTGGTTAATTTTTCAATATATGATAAGACATGCAATATTGAAACAAATCAAGGATCTACGAGGGAAATTAAAAACGTCTTATGGTGCAATTCATGGAAGATTGTTTGTTGTTCTACATGTATAGAACAACATAGCAAATATTGAAGGTTTTGTTTTACACCTTGGGCCGACCAGCTAGGGTTGTATTTTAACCTTGATAATTAACGGTTACAAATGTAGGAAATAGCAAAAAACTATAAAAAGAGGTGCTAGTTTAATTTTACATGATTTTTATGCTAGCATTAAATTGTTGTCAATCGTGATGGTTATATGTTGCAGATGTTGTATATATAAGTTGCATAACCTAATAACCACATCCATGTTATACCTAGACCTTAAATATTTTGCCAACACAAGCAAATAACTGTTAACAGTATAAAAATAAGGAGATGTGGTATGATTGCCAATGAGACAACCATCCAACAGAGTTCAAATGACGAAGGTAAAAATAAGCTTTTATTAACTTTATTTTTGTGCTGCTATTTTCACATTTAAGTATGACTTAAATCGATCAGTCATTGTAGAAACATTTTATTCAAGAGAATCAAGGATGCCATCTATTTAAACACTATCTATGTATTACAGATCCTTCTTGAACACACCATTTTCTGAAAGAAGATTTTCCTTATTTACGAAATCATCTAAGTCACGCCCAATCATAGTAATAAAAAGACAACTGCGTCCTCTCATAGTTATAAAAAAACAACAACCAAAGCAAAAGTGTAACATATATGGTCTTACCTTTTGGCAAACGTCTTCCGTCATTACCTAATCAAAATGGGTGAAAAATATGAAAATGACATGATGAAGCATTCAAATTGTAAAAAAATGATTTTCAGATAATTTGTATTTCGTAAAAATGCAAGACATACATAAACTATTAATTGAAAAAGAAACGATACAAAGGTAGGTGAGGCAATAATCCAAAGATATATTATAAAATAAACAATTTGCAAAGACGACAGCGCTTGTAATGCAATCTTTTGTCATGAAAGTTGCTAGTAGGATTATTGCTAGAAACTATAAAACTCAAATCTTCCAACAGGACTAAGGTCATAAATGTTGACTCATTGCTTCGAGAGAGACAAAAGATACGAAAGGGATATTCACTCTTAAGTCGAAAACAAACTAACAATGCCATGGCAAGAAGAAAAGAAAATCGATCATAAGACAAGTAACAGTATACAAAACACAACATTATAAACTAAAGACTGAGCAACACAAACCTTGCCAAAAACATGGGGTGATACTCCGGAAGGATAAGCATATCTATATCCGTCGTGTAACTCTTAGTGAGTATGTATCACGTTATAGCCAATTGGCAATTGACTCTTATATGACCCTAAGCCATCATCAAATTCATAAAACATGTCATGTAAGTTTTTGACCCTGAAACTAAACCGAATGTGAAATGAACAACAAAACAATCAAAAATTAAAAAGCGCAAAGAACACCACTAAAAACTAAAGCAAGAGCAGCATGAACACCTACTAAACAAAACTAAGGGTGATCTTAGGTGCTCCGGAAAGTATTATAAAAGACTGTACCAAATATCTTTATAAATTAACTTAAACTCGAAAATCCGACACTCATTACATTTTCTATAAAAAAAAATGTCTTCGTTTGAGTGCATTTTTTTGTTATTTAAATGCTGTTTATATTTGTTGGTACATACTGTGTAAGAGTTTACAAAAAAAAAACAGTGAGCAGTCGAAAGACTAAATTTCCTTTGTTTTGAAAGAAACATGTTCAAAGAACCACTTTACATTTACACACAAAATATGTTACTGTCCTTAATATTTGTGTCAAAAAGTTATTGATATATGTTAATCTTTGTAATGCTTGTTATTACAGGATCTCCTATATATGAAATATATATTGTATTTTCAACCAGTGAAGCAGAGAAGTATCTACTGTTAGTAAATTGCAGTGGTTTGTATAAACATCAGAAAACCGATTTAGTCATTCTAGGTTTCCATGGTGTTATCTTTTTTATTGGACATGTTTTTAGATTCCCCCTTGTTATTTTCTATCTATTTTGAGTCCAATATTCTCATATTGATAAAAAAAAAAATTAAAACAAGTTATTCGAAATTTTCAAACTATTCAGACGATCTGCAATTTGAAAGTCAGTTAATTTTCATGGATTTCCACTGGGGTGTAATTTCTGTACAGTGTAAACAATATGCTTGTTAATAGGGTAAACATAACAAAATGATCGTTTAAATGAATTAACTTATAAAATTGATTATATTTGATATATAGCTGCTTGCCCAATTTTGTCAAATGAAGGAGCTTTAAACACACTTTCTTACAAGTGGGAAGTTTAGCTAGCTATATAACAAGGTTAAGCCCACCATTTTCTGCTGGAAATGCCTGTACCAAGTCATAAATATGGCAGTTGTTTTTCACTTGTTCCATTGATTGATATCATTTGATTTTGTCAGTTTTTATGGACTCCCCCTTTTTGTATTTACCTTGGAATTTGGTATTTTTTCTGTTCTGTTTTTTCTGTTCTGTTTGTTTTGCTCAAACATTGTTGTCAATATTATGGAATTTCTATGCGACTGTCATACAAGTGAGAGGTTTAGCTAGCTATAAAGACAGGTTTAATCCACTATTTTCTACCTAAGATAAAGCCTGTACCAAATCAGGAATATAACAGTTGTTTCCATTCGGTTGATCTGTGTGAGCTTTTGATTTTGCCATTTTATAAAGGACTATCCGTTTTCAATTTTCCTTGGAGTTCGGTATTTTTGTTATTTTACTTTTTGTTATACTTTTTTTATAACATTAACAGTTCATTATCATATCACATCGCGAAATAAGAAATTAATTTATCTCAGAACTTACCAGAAACGACCTTTGTAGCACCATCAAATCTATCTTTCAATTTATCACCCACATTCCTAAATGTAGGTAGCCTCATCCAACAGGTTTTTATTGTACAACTTCCTGACATACCATGGCATTTACATTCTCTCTTCATAACTTTTGATACATGCTACAATAATTGGTTATAAAAATATGTATGATGATAGATATTATTGGTTAATGCTGTTGAATTAAGTGCGAACAAATCCAAGAAAAATGTAATTACTGATTCATATATTTTTACAATACCATTGTAAGTTTATTATCTTTTTCCAAACGAGTGATTGTGTTTTGCCAACCTTGAAAAATTTCTATTGTGCAATATTGTTTTACAGTATGCTTTAAGCGTTTTCAGGTCGAACGTTTTGAATTAAAAAGGATCAATGATATTTTCGAATGTTCTTTATGTTTTTAAAAAGCTATTGTTAGATAATGTTGTCATTTCGTTTCAATGCATGTGAGAATCATAATTAGATTCTTATTTTCCTTTTAGACTTTCTATAAAGGATATATCAAATCTATTATAATCATCATAAGCAATATAACCTCTTGTTGCTTGTTTCTGAATCCTATCTGCCACAATGTGAATCAATATTGTAAAAAATATGTTAAATTTCATAATAAAATATTGTTTATATCAATAACTTAATTAAGTGTATAATTTTTTCGATAAAAATCATGATGATAATTCAAAATAATTTGATGAATATGCCCATTTTCTTCCATGACCTGGCAATATTATTTAAAATCTATAAATATTTCATAATGTTATGTATACAAACAAATTATAGCATTTATTGAGCACAAAATTCGAGTCAACTACATCAGGTGTGATTATGGCCAAAAGTTTTCAAAGCCAAAGTATAAAACTTTTAAGAATATAAAAAGGGTCCGAACAGAACATTCATATGTCACACTCCCTGAGCACTACGATGAATGTTTCGTCTTTCTGCTATTTTAAGCACAACATATTATATATTTATCTTAAACATGGATGTAAGTGAAAATAGCAGTATATAAATTCCGTGGGTCTAAAGCGCTATTCTAGATTTACTTTTATCAGGAAAGCTCACACCAAAACATTAGAAAGCTAGGAATGTACAAATACGTAGCACTGTTAGGAGCAATATGACCAAAACGGACATAAACAGCTTTAGAACAACCAAATTCATTTAAGGTCCACTTTTCCTGATGGAGTTGAAACCTTAGTTTCTAACTAATTCTGAATTAGTTTCTACTTACAACTCTTCCTGCCTCATTGTTATGTAGATTTAGCATGTATCTAAAGTCTTTTCCTTTTTCTAGAACATCCACAAATTTTCTAGAAAATTTATGTCCAAATTTAGCGTTGTCACTGCAACCGCCCCAATCCCAGTCCGCTTTTGCTGGTGGTTCCCTCATACTGTAGTCACAATTGCACGTGAGAATGCTACCGTCAGCGCATGCTCGTGCAATTGAATGTGTCACTGCAGCTGTTGTAATTGCATAGATGAAAGAAGTTTCTCTACAACCTGAAATAAGACGAAATAAAATAAAGAGAACGAATGAATGTAACTGATTTCTTCTGTTTATATGTTTGTTATAACAAATAGGTGTTTAGTTTAGATACCTTTAAGATATTCATTAGGATATTCTACTTCAATTATCATCATTTGAATATTGCAATCATCTCTCAGCAAAACGGGGTAATTCTTTTTCAAATAAAGCAAAATCACCACTTTTGTTTATGAAACAATTTTTTCAGCAATACACATAAAATACAAGAAAGGCGTCACAGCATTTTTATTTTAATACAACCCAAGATCATTAAGAACCATAATAAGGGGTATAAGTTAAAATTGGTAGCAGTGCAACCATGTTTGAATACGCCATTACAAGAATGAATAATATGAGTTATAGCAGACTGCAACAAGGGAATTAACTCAAGTGTAATATATATATCAGTTAAGTAAAAGATATAACATGATTTTACATTATAAATTGTCTTTTAGCAAAGGAGACAGTCAGGAGCCTGTAATTCAGCGGTTGTCGTTTGTTGCTGTGCATCATATTTGTTTTTCGTTCATTATTTTGTTCATAAATCAGGCCGTTAATTTTCTCGTTGGAATTGTTTTACATTTGTCATTTCGGGGCCTTTTATAGCTGACTATGTGGTATGGGTTTTACTCATTGTTGAAGGACGTACGGTGACCTATAGTTGTTAATTTCTGTGTCATTTGGTCTCTTGTGGAGAGTTGTTTTATTGGCAATCATACCACATCTTCTTATTTTGATATCTACATCTGGTAATTATGTATAATATGATCATTAAACATCTAGATCTCATTCTTTGTACAATTAATATAGATATACATAAACATAGATTGAAGATGGTTATAGAGACAATTAAGAAAATTCTAAAGGTATCATCGTGATACATCTTATGGTAACAGAATGGGTTAATTGACTTTGTAAATAATTTCGGATGAAAATAACAATATTGTTATTTAAAGAAACATTTTAATATAAGGGGAAAAGGTTGTTTACTGATGTTCGAAACTCGTAAATTTACTTATAGAATATATACGAAAAGAAAAGAACCTTGCGGAAATAGCATTAGGGAGCTACCATTTGATTGTTATGGGAGAGCTAGGATGAAAAATTCTGTCCTGCATTTGTTTTAGTTGTAATCTCTGTCCTGTGTTTTTTTTCACTGTATTCGGTCCTGCTTTTTTTTATTAGTTTATCCTGACTTTTTTTACATAAATTGTCATCCTGCCTTTTTTTTACTCAAAACTCCTGTCCTGCCGTTTTTTCAAATTTCATCCTAGCCCCCTCCCCATAAAAATCAAATGGTAGCTCCCTTATTCAGTTAGATGTGAGAACTGGTGCGTTGACAGGATAATCGTCTCCTGGTAGTCATGCTTGATTTGTCCAAGTTCTTCAAAGGAACGAATAAATCAAACGTGAAAAGTGCACGAAACAGAAGGTCGTGATAATCTTATTTTCAGTTAATTGACCATTCGTATGTGTTTACTTTTTCCATCAGTGTATTTCAACAAGTTTTAATTATATATATAAATGAAATATAACTTATTACATTTGTGTAAATTAACTATAAAATATAGAATTACATTTTCCAACTTAAACCAATTGATACATTCAAAAATTATAAAACATACCATCAAAAGAGTTACTTATTTTAAGGAGAGTTGGTTTCATTATTTCTCTGCGTAGTAATTTGCTTGTTTGAAACATTTATTGTGCAAATATTGGATTGCTTTATTTGATATTCATTTCAGATCTTTAATATACTTTTTCGGCATTTGGGTTTTTGCAAATAAACATAATATCGTTTGTTGAACTAATTTTCCATAAATTCAATATTATTACAGAATTGACGTTTTCTGTAAATAAAATAATATTCAATAACCGCATAAAGATAAAAACTTCAATCACTTTGTCGAAATAACTAATAAAATCAAAACTACATAAAAAGCAACCAAACGTTTAAAATTACATTCATAAATTGATTACTTCGCGTGAGAAAGTTTATACATTTCATAAAATGTAACAATATTCATCTTAAAAATATTTCATGGCTTTTTAGTTTTTTAGAAGAATTACAAATAAAATACATTTTAGTGGTAAAATTCTTCAAAGAAATACTGAAAAATAAATGAGCCAAAACTATAATTATGTTCTTTGTACATGTCAACAAGTAAACCTCTAATTTTTCTATAAAGTATTATTTTTTTTTCTTCCTACTTTTATAAAGTGATTGAAAAGTAAACTGTGAGAAACAATTTTCAATAGCAGCATTTTTTTTTTCTTTCAAACGTTCTTTTTAACGTTTTAATTAATAATGCTTCTGTTTATGTTTACTTTGCACAGAGGAGTACCATATTACTTATTTTTTTATCACATAAATGTATGTGAAATTATTTAGGAATAAAGAAATACATTTGACTATGAAGAGGGGAGCTAAAACAATTGTTACTTAAAACAAAAACATATAATAAGTATATATATGTATATATAAAAGAGACTAAAGATACCAATAAAATTAACGGTATCAACTGTTCTGCACCAGATGCACATTTCGACAATAAAAGTCTCTTCAGTGATGCCGAGGACAAAATATTTGAAAATCCAAAACTATTTAAACCAAAATGGAGAACCAGAAGAGAGACAGATAAAATCATGGCAAAAACGAAAGCGACAAAAAGGTAGAAAAACACCCTTTAAACAATATATATCAAAAATAAAGACTGAGCAACAAAAACCCCACTAAAAACCGTGGATGATATAAGGAGCTCAGGAAGGGTAAGCAAATCAGGCAAAAGTAAGGTCTTCATTTTGTGCACACTAGTCACGTTTCTAGAATAACCTTAAACGGGTATCGTAGTTAAGTCTGGAGCATCAAAACCCCAAAAGACGTCAACAGTGCTACCAACATTTTCAATCTCACCTGAATGAGTTCAAATCTTAGTTATAGTATGAATAGAAGGGATCTAAGGAGAAAGCCCTCAAACCGTTTAAATAAGACAAATTAAAGTGTGAGTAAAGATCGCCAATGTTGTTTTAAATTTACATTCACTCGATACGCTCTTGTTTCTTCTGAAAATGCTTGTACCAAGTACGGAATATGCCAGTTATTTCCAATTTGTTGTTTGATATAGTCTGATTGTTTGTTTTTGTCAGGTTTTATGGACTTTTTTTTATCAATCTTTATCTACAGTTCGGTATTTTTGTTAATACATTTGTGTGTGTACTACCGTTTCAGCATATTACATTCCATGAAAATGTTGCCAATCTATACTTATTACAAAGTAAATTCATAAGTGTTAATGAATAAGCATGCTTAGGTTGATGTACAATGACAAGGTAACAGGGTTTCGTGACATTTTTTTTAATTACCTATTTCAAAATCATAAAAATATCAATTTATAAAACAAACTATGGTCCAAAAATGATTGAAAGTAATAACTCTATTTCTAAATTAAATTGTAGAAGTTAAAAGATATTCTGAACTGAAGACCACCGACATTTTTATCGAATATATTTCATAAATTTGTTTTAATGTTTTAAAAACAGGCTATTAATTGATTTTAATTTTACATGATGGCATTAACTGCCTATTACTTGGTGAACAGCCGTTAATAATGTATTAGAAATATATATGTTAATTAGTCATTATGAGTAATATTCCAGAATTATATGTTACTCTATATATAAACTTGATATGTATTAAAGACGTTAGGGGATGACCAATTGATATTCTACGGGGCCTGGTTAAAAAGCAATTTTTTTCTTACGGAATATATAGTCTCTCCCTTTCTTTTTGGCCCACGTTTTTGTGCACATTGACATTACAATTTCTAAGTATAATATTCATTTTCATTCTGTTTTGGGCAAGTTTATTTATTTACAGTCCTTACCATGCAAGAGTATCAATGTTCAAAATCCTCTTGTACCGACTTTATTTTCCGCATGAGCTTCATGGAATCTTTATTTTTAAGTAGAAATATCATTCACTTGATTTTGAAAAATTAAAACATATAAAATCATCGATATTATAAAATTATTTCTATGTGAAATAAAACCAAAGCATTGTTAATATTTATACTTTTAAAGTCAGTAATTTTTTAATCAATTAAGTGACTGTTCTTTATTGTATCTTATTAATCATAACCAAATATAAGTTTGGAAACAACCAACTTAGTGACCTCTGTATTATACCATTTAGACGTCTTGTTAATAAAATCAAACGTTACATATAATTTGTAAGAAGATCTTACATTGAATTCTTCAGCATCACTTAAAAATGAGTTGCCACAATGTAACCTTTTTAACCACATACCATTTAAAGGTTATCATAAACGACCCATATCTAATGGGCGAAAATACAGTTTTCAATATTCAAAAGATTTTAACGGTATCTGATGAAGTTCATAAAAATATAATTCAATACATTTTTTCTAGTTTACACGAATGTTTTTTTGGTCATGATTAGTACTTTAAGTATAGGAAAATCCATTTACCAGTAAAAGTATTTTCTAATCATTTTGGTCTTAACATTATTTAAATTTGGGACAAGAAATGGTTCGTTAGTAAAAACGTTAGAATTATTTCCTTATAGTGCAGCTAGAACTTTTCAGACATTTTGCTAGCAAACAATCAAGTCCTGTTCAGTTATTTTTTTTTCAAATGTGTTAAACAGCTATTGCAAATTCTCATAAAAGGTTACTAGTAATCAGATTTTATTGACTGCAAGTAAAGTGAATTAATATTACTGAATTCCTCTAAAAATTGACTGCAAGTCTAGAGATTACTAGTTTATCTATTGCCCTGTCTTTCAATATTTGTGCTTAACAATACAACCATCTAAGTTCAAAATCTGTTTCATATTATTTATTATAGGACATAAACACATTGTTGAGTAAAACAGGACTATAAAAACATTGGAAAAAGTTAAATAACAAAAATACCGAACTCCAAGGCTTATTCAACGCGGAAAATACTTTATCAA